TCACTGCACTCCAGTCTTGGTGACAGAGTGAGACTCCAACTCAAAAAAAAAAAAAAATTATGATACTCCACCCATGCAGTTCAGTATGGAAAGAATGCAAAACACCAACTCCTAATGTTCTTAACTTAATGGGGCAGGTATATCCTGGCTGGGAAGCTTCTGTCACCCAAAGAAGGCAAACTGGCAGCACATATGTGTTCTGTTTGTTTTTTCCATTGCAATTTATTTATATTTGAATTAATCACAGATTAAAATCAGAAACTTGACTGGGTGCAGTGGCTCATGCCTGTAATCCCAGCACTTTGGGGGTTGAGGTGAGAGGATTGTTTGAGGCCAGCCTGGGCAACTCGTCTCTGCAATAAATTAAAAAATGAGCTGGACATGATGGCGTGTACCTGTAGTCCCGACTACTTGGAAAGCTGAGGCAGAAGGATCGCTTGAACCCAGCAGGTCAAGGCTATGGTGGCCATGAGTGTACCACTACACTCCATCCTGGGCCACAGAGTGAGATTCCAGCTCAAAAACAAACAAAAAACCAAAACTTTTAGATGAAATTTCAGACAACTCATACCAAATGGGTCTGTCTTTCTCTATGAAAGGGGTTGGCTGAACATTGAGCTTGGTGAGTGGAAACAAGAGGAATTGTAACTTTTTTTTTTTTTTTTTCTGAGTTGGATTCTCACTCTGTCGCCCAGGCTGGAGTGCAGTGGCATGCTCCCGGCCACCGCAGCCTCGACCTGCTGGGCTCCGGCTATCCTTCCGCCTCAGCCTTCCAGGTAGCTGGAACTACAGGCATGCACTACTACACCCGGCTAATTTTTGATTTATTCTAGAGATGAGGTCTCGCCAAGTTGCCCAAGCGGGTCTCGAACCCGCGGGCTCAGGCAATTCACTCACCTCAGCCTCCCAAGGCACGGGATTACAGGCTGAGCCACCGAGCTCGGCGAATTGTAATTTCTTACTTTAGATGAGATCTGAGTTATTGTATTTACCATAGCTTCCTCCTCCTTTGTTGTGTCCAGATGCTAAGGCTTGGTGTCATTGCCGTTCATTAGCTTATTCCAGCCATACTTCTTCTATGTTACCTACTTCTCTGTAATGAACGTAAGGACAAAGCCTTCAAATCACCCTGGCTTTTCCGCCCACCAACTCCACAAGATTTGCTGAGTATCTGGATGGGTTTGGAGAAGGCACTGGGTCAGGCCTGCTCCCTTGGCCACCTGGGACCAGAGAAGTGAGAGCATGGCTGATGGTGAGGGGTCCGTGAACCTGCAGTGAACACCATCGTGGGTTGAAGGTGAAGGTTAGTAACTGAGTGAGTGATTGCTTGGGAACTGGCCAGCAGGGAATAACGACCTAACTTCCTGTTGATGTCTCAGCCCCACAAGGGATGCTATAGCTGGGCAGGTACACTCATTTTGTGATGTTATTAGTCTTTGAATTTTTACTGAATGCCTGTGAATTGTTGGTTTCTTTTAACAAAACTTTCTTTTGGTACATTGTTGGCGATCTCATTTCAAGGAAGGAATAGCATTGCTTACTGTATGGAGTTCTCCAGTGGTTTTCTCGTGAAACTTGAGCCAGTATATGCTTTGTACTGGACAACTGAGTTTCAGAATTCCTGGCTCATCCAGGAGAGCCAAAACTGCTTGTGACTGGGCACA